AATTGTCAAACTCTTCACAACATCTACACATTCTTTCATCGTGTGAGCCAAAATGATCCTATCAGTCGTACATGCATGTATATTCCATAAATACCTATGACATGGAATGTTTGTAATGTCTGCTATTTTGGCAAATGGCCTGTAATTATAATGAAATAGGAATCACAATCTTGCCTATCAACCAATCAAGTTTGGAAGCACACAGTAGGCTATATGGAGTTTGCCCAGCACTACCGTTACAACCAGTTTTGAACATGGAGGAACGTGTCTTTACTATGTACTAACATTTAAATTAATAATTTGATACAATGCACTTATTGTGTATATACATGTTTTTACATTGTACTTACATTTTAAAAGTATCTGCATGTAATTGAAATTACACTAAATAGAATTACACTGTTGACCCTTTCCTTAAACCATCCCAACACGATCTCATGGAAGTGCGTATATATACCACGAATTTAATTTCTCGTGCTATTTATACGCCAAAAATGTTTTTTTTGCGTGCATATGCTACGCACTGTAAATCTCTTGGGTAGGATTTAAGGGGGTGTTGAGTGTGTGCATTTTACACACCAAAAAGTGCGTATCATATGCACGCGAAAACTGCGTATCATATACACGCAAAAACTATTTTTGGCGTATGGCACGAGAAATTTAATTCGTGGTATAGATACCCGCTTTCATGACTCATACAACCAAACCTGTCCCTCTTACCAGTATCCCACCTCAATAGCAGCAAAAGTGTTTTGGAATACAATATGAACACAATAAGTACACTGTACTTATTTTTTTTTATGTAAGTACATAGTAGTTACATAAAAAAATAAGTACAGTGTACTTATTGTGTTCATATTGTATTGCAAAACACTTTTTAATATCTTTTTAATTTTTTTAAGTCACTTTTTAATTTTTTTAAGTCAATCCTGTGGTACACAAAGAGAAAATGGACATTTGGTCACACTATATCCATTTTCTCTTTGTGTACCACAGGATTGACTTTCCCTAGAACATGTTTACCTACTGCTGAAATCTGTATCTAAAAAACCCTGTATGATACACAAGAACATTCAGCTAGACAAAGCTGGCATTCTTATAGTGTGGAAAACAGACAGTGTCAACTAAAAAGTAGAAAACATAAGAAATTTGTATATTACAAATATTTCCATGGTGAAAAAACATCTAAACATTTTGACCAGCATGGCTCACACACTGAATTTTATTTTTATTTTTTTTGGCATTGGTCAATTTAATGACACATTAACTAGGTTTTTAAGCATGAATGAAATGTTTTGTGTGAATATACATTTAGCAGACATGCGACAGAGTTCTGATGTTCAAGCAAATGTGATGTGACAATTGCACTTACAGTTGTTAAGACTGTTAAGAATGAATGTTGCCAAAGCGATTGAGAAAAATTGTAAAACTTAGTTCCTCCTTTTCTTATTTCCTCCTCCCTCACAGCGGTTTCTCTCTCTCTCTCTCTCTCTCTCTCTCTCTCTCTCTCTCGTAAACACTATAGTGTTGTTCAGAGCTAATCGCTGCATTCTCTCTTCTTGTGGGCGCTCAGCTTCTTCAGAGGCAGAGAGGGTGGAAGGCGGGGGAGCGTTCACTGGCCCTGTGGCCTGATGATTCAAAGCACCGGGTTCTTCTAGGTCATTCTGTCTAAACATCAGCCTAAAGAGCACTGCTATTTGTACAGCAAAGCCTGCCAGACATCACAATCTCGTTTGTTGTCAAATAACGCCCCTAGATGTCACACATTTTATTACAGTAAATATTCATCAGGGTTGGTTTATTTCTGTGTACTCACACACCTTAAAGTCTTGACTACAAAGGCAGGTGTTTAGGGCGACTATACATCTTAAATGGATCGACATGGACTCAGGTCATCTTCGTTGCAAGTCATTATGCAATGTCGATCATATACTGCAAAACAAATCCATAGTCTGGTCACTTCTGCCCAGAGACAGCGTGAGCTGGAGGCTCCGATGTGTGAGATGTGCGCTAATGTCTTGACAGGAGAGAAAGCCAGATACACAGCCCAGAGTTTATAGCTTCCGATGGATATCTAATAGCCCCAGTGGACATTAATAGATATAGTGTCAGGACTGTTGGCGGTCTGATGTGATTTCCCGCCCTGGCCTTGATTAATTAAACAGTTGGATTGGTTCCTGTGAGGTGCCGTTATTTAGCTTGAAGCTCGGCATCAAACAGGCTGCAACAAGTGGACCCACAAGCCGAGGGATGTGCTGTATTTCAGTTTTATCCGTATTTGATTTGTTTTAGGGTCTTTGTATGTCTTGCATAATTGCTTGCATACAGAACTGCACCCACACTAAAACTCAACAGTTGTCCTAACTAAGACTTTTTAGTTCACTTTACTCAATGTACAACAATTTTGAGCTTATTTGTCAAAATTTAGTTATCTGTACTATTCACACACTGTAAAACCCAACAAGTTAAGCTAACTCATTTCATTTGAGGAAACCGATTGCCTCAATTCATTTAAGTTTATAAAAAACAATAGTTATGAGTACTCTGAACTTATTTTATTCGAGTTCACTAAAACAATAATATTTCTTAAAACACAATTAAACTTTACACTGCATTTAATACTGTATAGGTGAAACTTCACTTTATTGAGTAAAAACAGTGTACTATATTTTTCTGACTCTGAAAACCCAACATAAGATTACTTGATGGCTTTGAGTCGCATTTTGTCAAGCAAAAGGGAGTTTTTGAGGCAGGGCAATTCTTAATAGACTTTACTCATTTCTTCTACAGTTATCTTTCTTCGTAGTTGCATTCACTATTTTTCCAAATTCATCTCGAATGTTGAATTTTCCGTACAACTAACAATTTTAAGAGAACATCACGTAACTTGGCTTCATAAATTGATGTTGATTTCCCTAAAATGGTTGGGCAACTTATGTACGGTTTCAAATGAAGAGAAGTAATAAATATGTGGCTTTTAAAAGATGACCTAACTTCTCTCTAAATCCCAAACTAATCTACAATTCAGGTTGAATTACAGTTTAATCAAATTGTATTGCTAACAACTATATCACAAACACCATCTAACAAAAGGGGTTGATCCCCCTCTAGTTGTGCCAATATCTTGAAATTGTCCTTGCTTGAGTCACACACAGATATCAACATTCAGCAAGCAAAACAACAATGGCAAATTCATTTTTAAATGAATAGACTCTGACCATTACAAAAAAAAATGTATTTGCTGTCTTTATTGTGCTAATACTGACACAAGACAGCAAATACAATTGTCAAATAATAAAAAAAGAATTGTAAAACAAAGAAATTATAATTTAGTTATGCTGCAATGCACTCTGGGAGTAGTCTCTTACTCAGTAAGCCAAGATATGAAAACTTGAATATATTAATATACTTTACTAGATTTTCTGAGGCAATTTTTTCTGAACATTTTTCAAGTAACTCTATAAAAGAAATATTTATTTATATACACTACCGTTCAAAAGTTTGGGGTCAGTGAGAATTTTATTTTTATTTTTTGGAGGAAAGAAATCAATACTTTTATTTATCAAGGACAGTAAAGACATTTATAATGTTACAAAAGATTCTATTTTAAACAAATGCTGTTCTTTTGAACTTCCTATTCATCAAAGAATCCTAAACAAAAAAAAAAAAACTGTACAACTGACAGACTAACAACTGTTTCAACATTGATAATAATAATAAATGTTTCTTGAGCATCAAATCCTCATATTATACTGATTTGTGAAGGATCATTCATTTGACACTGAAGACACTGACACTGGTGATGCTGAAAATTCAGCTTTGATCACAGGAATAAATTACACTTTACTATATATTCACACAGAAAACAGCTGATTTACACTGGAATAATATTTAATACTATAACTGATTTTTGTTGTATTTTTAATCAAATAAGCGCAGCCATGGTTAGCAGAAGAGAATTCTTTTAAAAGTATTTAAAATCGTAACGACCCCAAACTTTTGAACGGTAGTGTATATATATATACTTTTTTTTACACTGGCTCTATTCTAGCCTGTCCTAATCTATAACTTTGTATTGCAGCACTTGCCTCTTTAGGATAAATCGCGTTGTTGTATTTCTCATTTGTTATATTCCTTTGCTTGTTTGCTATTGTATCATTATACAAATAAAAAATACGGTCAGATATGTAGAGAGGAGGAAAGAAAGGCATGTGGTGGACTGGCTTGGATCAGAACGTTTGTCCCTGCACCTGTTTTGAGCATAAAAAAGAACAAGTGGATGAGCACCATGATATAACAGCAAAAGAGGGGCGAGAGATTAGAAGGAAGTGTGTGGGAGAGGCACAGCAGTCCGAGATGCTTCATTTGTAATCGGTGACAATTTAATCTCTCAGATTTGGGGACAGTAAGAGCGAGTGAGTGGCCGGCCAGTCAGTGCTGACGGCTATAACTATAAGAGCTGTCAGCAGTCTCGAATGCATAGACGGTGAGAAGTAAGAGGGCTTTCTGAGATAAAAAGGAGAGAAAGAGAGGAAAAAACGATACTGTCAATCAGTATTTTATATGTTCATTAAAAATCAAACATGTCGTTGTGATAATATAAAATCAATTGCTCGTATTAAGGTGAAATGTAATTTAACGAGAAAGAAATATTCTGTATAGAATTATATTTTGTCACCTCAGTTAGCCGCTGAGAAGAGGAGACAATGAAAAAAAGGGCGGTGGCACTGTCTCTGTGATTGAATGCAGCCGTGTTTTCAATCGATATTGATGAGAATGTTTTGAAAACAAGACGAATGTTGCAAAGGCTAAAGAAAGCGGTCATTTCCTTAATACACTTCTGATTTTTAATTCTTCGTGGTGCATCTGGTTGTTAATAGGCTTGTCGGTGTTTTTGTTCGGAGGTGCTGAAATGCAGTGAGCTGCGCTGGTTAGAGCGCGTTTCACCCATCCCCCGCCTGTACAGCACTGGGTGAGGGAGGGGGGCAGGAGAGAGAGGAAAAAGAGAGAGAGGGGGAGCAATAGGCAGCACCCTTGTGAGGGGAAACGAGAGTCGGCTTCGTGGAGAGGAGAGAAGAAAAAAAGAGCTGGGGCGCAAACAAAAGAGAGAATATGGATGGAGCAGAAAAATGTCTGTTTGAAAAGGCAAGCGCAGCGGAGACTTTGGTCATCCTGCACATAGTCTACCCGTTTTTTGGATGCCGTGCTTTGGAGCTGTTGCGCGGCGAGCTCTAAAGGCGGAACGTGGTTTTTAATCCGTCTGTGGATGTTGCCAGCTTGCGATGGCTGTTGCAGGGCGATGTAACTGCATAAAAGAGAACGTGCCTCTTTGTTTATGTTTCTTCATTGTTCTATTAAGTGTCCTTACAAATGCACAAATTCGCTACAGCATTCAGGAGGAGTTGGAGAGCGGAACTGTCGTTGGGGATCTTGTTCGGGATCTCGGGCTGGAGCTGCGAAAGCTTTCGGCGCGTCGGATTAGAATCAGCTCCGACAGTGCGAGGCGATACTTTAACATCAACCACAAAACTGGTAAGCTTGTTATAAGCGACCGGATTGACCGCGAAACGCTCTGTGAATTCAGCGGGACCTGCACGCTTAGTCTCGACGTGGTGTTAGAAAGCCCATTTGAACAGCACAGCGTGGATGTTGATATTCTGGATGCAAATGACAATTCGCCGCTTTTCCCTCGAGACGAGTACCAGTTGGAGATCTCGGAGGGCTCACAGCCAGGCGCGCGGTTTTCCATTGAGGGCGCGCAAGATTCTGACGACGCCTCAAATTCCGTGCGCCATTATCGCCTCACCTCAAACGAACACCTGGCGCTCGACTCAACCAAACCACCTGCAGATGGAAAACACATAGAGCTCGTGCTGAAAAAACCTTTCGACCGCGAGCTTTTGCAGTCTCACCAGTTTCTAATCACTGCTACTGACGGCGGATCGCCTCCGCGCTCAGGCTCAGCCAAAATCAACGTGCGCGTCTTGGATACCAATGACAACGTGCCAGTCTTCGACAGCTCCGTATATAAAGTGAAACTGCGGGAAAACTCTCCCGTTGGCGCGCTGGTGATTAAATTAAACGCCACAGATAGAGATGAAAGCTCCAACGGGGAGGTGTACTACTCTTTTAGCTCGTACACGCCAGATAGAGTGAGGCAGGTGTTTTCTGTAGACACAGACAGTGGGGAAATTCGAGTAATGAGCAATGTGGACTATGAAGAAACCAACACCTATGAGATGTATATCCAGGCGGCAGATCGAGGCCAAGGGGCCGTGGCAGTGCACTGTAAAGTGGTGGTGGAGGTGTTGGATGTGAATGATAACCCTCCTGAGATTGTGCTCTCCTCTCTCTCCAGCCCAGTTCGAGAGGACGCTCGGGCAGACACTGTGGTGGGTTTAATAAGCATAAATGACAAAGACTCTGGACAAAACAAACAGGTCAGCTTGGATATCATCCCCCCTGACCTGCCCTTTAAAATCAAATCATTCCGAAATCATTACACCATTGTTACCTCAGCCTTCCTGGACCGTGAGACTATATCATCATACAATGTCACAGTTACAGCCATGGATGGTGGAACGCCACCTCTTTCATCGTCAATGACGATACGAGTAGAAGTGGCAGATGTCAACGACAATCCACCACGTTTTAAACAGACTTCATACACCGTTTACGTCTCAGAAAACAATGCGGTCAGTGCACCTCTGTGCGTCATCAAGGCAACGGACCCTGATGCCGGAGAGAACGCTCGCATCACGTACACCGTCCTCAATGACAACAACCATGGTGTTTCCGTGGCATCATACGTTTCTGTCAAACCTGCCACAGGTGAGGTGTACGCACTACGATCGTTTGACTTTGAAAAGTTGCGTGAGTTTCATTTCCAGGTGAAAGCTCAAGACAACGGTGTGCCTCCTTTGAGCAGGGTGGCAACTGTCTATATTTACATCATGGACACCAACGACCACAGCCCGAAGTTTGTTCGCCCCGCGGCGAACGGCTCGCACTCCACAGAGACCATTTTGCGTAACTCGGAGGCAGGCGTCCTTGTTTCACGTGTGCTGGCTTGGGACTTAGATGCTGGGGAAAATGCCTGGTTGCTATACAGCCTCCATCACCCGCCTGAACTGGACTTGTTTAAGGTGCACGAGCACACAGGTGAGATCCGAACTACACGGAGAGTCTTCGAGGACAATTCCACTGTCTTTAGCCTGACAGTGCATGTGCAAGATCATGGTTTGCCTCCTCGCTCCGCATCTACAACAATCACCGTCGGAGTCATGGAGCTCCCACCCAAAGTGGCCCCAGACCCAAAACGCATAATCAGACCACATGGCACAATGATGTTCTCTGAAGTGACCCTGTATCTTCTCATTGCCCTCAGTGCTACCACCTTTGTTTTCTTGCTAACTATCTTCGTCCTAGCAATTGTTCGCTGCCATGCCTACTGCAGCCAACCAGACGCTTGCTCCTGCTCGCCTTGCTGTGTGTCCAAGAAGAAAAAGAAGTCATCGATGAAGAAAGCAACCAAAGATGGTGGTGGTGGAGGTGGTGGCGGAGCAGGTGGAGCCACAGGTGGAGGTGGGGGCGCTGCTGGTGGGGTCACGTTCCAGCAACAGTCTGAGGTGATGCGGAGAGATCTGAAAGTGGAGCCACGATACATTGAAGTCCGAGGAAACGGCTCTCTAACTAAAACGTACTGCTATAAGACCTGCCTGACCGCAACATCAGGAAGTGACACTTTTATGTTCTACAATACGGGCCGACCGATGAGTGGGACTTGGGGTTCAGGGGCAGACCGTTTCTTTACAGGACAGAGCGGGCAGTTTGTGCGCAGACTGAGCATGCCCGACGCTACGGCAATACAGGTGTGTGCAGTGCCCACACTCTTATAGCATTCATCAAGTGAATCATCCATCTATGCATGAAGTGAGGAGAAAATCTGGTCTTTTGCTAATCTGGTGCCTTTTCACTCTCAGATATGATAATGATCTAGGAGTAGCTTTGGCATTTTCAATTTTCACTCAGAAATCACTAGTATTTCACATTTAATTACAAAGAGACAGAAAGTAACACATTGAAATACATGTGAAATTCTACAAATATTTTTTCTTGTAAAACAAACTCCAATAATCTTTGTTTTATTTACAACTTCGAAAAGTCATGTACTACAGTTGTCTGCTTACTGTTTGCAGTACAGTGACAGGCCTTTTTTCAGCACCGGAAAGCTCTTGCTTAGAATATATAGCAGGGCTCGGTAATGGATGCCGGCTGTTGTATTGGAGCATTTTTACTTTTTTTCTTTTTGTGCCTCATTAATTCGCAGCAGCAGTCTTCAGTGTGCACTGCAGAATGCATGTGTTTGTGTGTGTGTGGTTATGATGATTTAACGTATCAGACTCTCTTTCCACTGGTTTACATCTGTCATCAAATTGCATTTCATCAGTTATGAATTTAGAGAGAAGCGCTCACTGTTTCTCCTCTCCTCTTTCACGCTTGTACTCTCTCTCTCTCTCTCTCTCTCTCTCTCTCTCTCTCTCTCTCTCTCTCTCTCTCTCTCTCTCTCTCTCTCTCTCTCTCTCTCTCTCTCTCTCTCTCTCTCTCTTCAGCCTGTTCTGCAGTGCGTTGTTTCAGGACAGCTGGGTATGTTTATATTTAGAGGTGTGAAGCTCAAACAACACTCCAGTTTCTCTGTACCCACACTTAAATCTCTCAAGAGAGACTCTCCATGCCTAGCTTCAGTTTAGTTAAGCAACTTCATATTGGACTTCATCCACCAAGACCAGTTGATAGGCCTTTAAGCTAAACACAGTATGATTGGTCCCCTGATGATAGATAGATAGATAGATAGATAGATAGATAGATAGATAGATAGATAGATAGATAGATAGATAGATAGATAGATAGATAGATAGATAGATAGATGGATGGATGGATGGATGGATAGATATATAGATGGATAGATAAATAGATAGATGGATGGATGGATGGATGGATGGATGGATAGATAGATAGATAGATAGATAGATAGATAGATAGATAGATAGATAGATAGATAGATAGATAGATGGATGGATGGATGGATGGATGGATGGATGGATGGATGGATGGATGGATGGATGGATGGATGGATGGATATATAGATGGATAGATAGATAGATAGATAGATAGATAGATAGATAGATAGATAGATAGATAGATAGATAGATAGATAGATGGATGGATGGATGGATGGATGGGTGGGTGGGTGGATGGATGGATGGATGGATGGATAGATAGATAGATAGATAGATAGATAGATAGATAGATAGATAGATAGATAGATAGATAGATAGATAGATAGATAGATCCTTTAAATGTCACATTGTATGCACATTACTCATTAGTAATTCAAAAAATGTGGGAAAAAGGGGGTACCTCAAGATAGCAAGTCCATATCTGATGATATTTATACTGTTAGATGGGTGAATCTCAGGAAACTTGAGTAAATCTATAATGAGAATCACTATTCAGAATAATGGAAATTATAAGAAAAAATCAAAGGGAAGAATAATGTGATTAATTATCATGAAATTTCACAGAGCAAAAACTCTTAATAGCTATTTTATTTTTTCTTATTTTTTTATTTAATTTAATTTAATTTAATTTTATTTATTTTAATTTAATTTTATTTAATTTTATTTTATTTTATTTTATTTTATTTTATTTTATTTTATTTTATTTTATTTTATTTTATTTTATTTTATTTTATTTTATTTTATTTTATTTTATTTTTAGATCCTGCCGCCATTGAGTTACATGCCATTTCTCAACAGATTAGCTCATTTTCTCATCAGCAATTTGTTGCAGCAGTTTTGTCAGTTTGTCAAGCCTTAGTATGACCAACAATTTATTACAAACGAAGCCTTCAGTATCTGCTCTGTTAGTTCACCAGCGGTCATCATTACAAACTGAGTGCATTTATGTTATTTTGTTGATCAAGTTGTGAGTGTTTCAGGGATTACTGGATGAGAAAACATGTGTGAGCGCCTCTTATTTGTGAAGTAATTACTGGCTCATTTCAGCTTTTCTCATTAAATGTCAGTCATGTTTATTCTCCCAGTGTGTGATTAAGTGGCAGTGGAGCGGTTTCTGGTGGCTGATTGGGTGGTTTGGTGTGGAAAGAAAAGGAAGGAAGGATTGTGATTGGTTGGTGCAGAGGTGTGAATGCTGTATCCAGGCGAGGTGTGTCCACTCAGAAAGGAACTGAGAGAGAGAGAGAGAGAGAGAAAATGAGAAAAAGAGAGTAAGGAACTGCTGGTGAGACGAGATCAGACTGAACTCATTATCTGCCTCTCCTCACACCACACACACACAGTGAGTGATAAATCAAAGACCTGTGAGATGAATAAAAAACAGATCCCCAGTATCTTTGCTCAGCAACCTACTCTGTTTTTATATTTACTTGATTTGAGTGTCTGTAATTTCTGCACATATTTAACCCTTCATCCAAAATCTTTCAAAATCTTCCTACTGCATATCCTTATTTACTCATATATTGAATGAGTCATTGTACATTACACCTGGTTTTGTTTAGGGAACGTTTTAAACACAATTGGTGGATCAGATGGTTACATACAGTTTCAATCCTTTGAGTTTGTTATTTTGTTGTTTTTATTTACATGTTTTGTCTCTTAGAGGTTTGGCGATTGAAATGTGGTTGTTATGGCCCTGGTAAAAAAAAAAAAAAAAAAAAACTCTTGATTTGTAACTGATTTATAGTGTCTTTATTTGGAAAAGGTTTTATTTGAGAGTACAGAATATGAAAGGTTCCAGTATGTTTTTGCATGACCAGTAGCAGGTGTGTATTGTAGGCTTCTATGATGGATGTGTGTGTTTACGTGTTTTGTGGAGAGCAGGCTCAGCTGATTGCACTGCGAATTGGATTTCACATTGATGAATGTCCACCAGGAGATGTGTGTGAGAGAGAAAATTAGTAATGTATTCACTTTGCAGATGCTTGTATCTTACCCGACTTATACCAGGACAGGTTTGAGAAGCACTGGTCTATAGGACCATTATAGGTTTTTGCATTGGGAGGACCACCCCATATTCTCTTTACTACAAGCAAAAGTATCATTTTCCTAATAGTAAGCTGTTTAAAAAAAAAAAAAAGCAAAACATCCTCTCACCATGTGCATTTTGACTGCAGATATGCCTCAGTTTCTCTCTCCCTGAGGAGACTCTTTCAGATCGATCTCACCCCTCTGCTGCTGCTCCTCCAGGGCTTTATGCCCTTGATTTGTCCCTGTGTCTGTTTGTTTGAATGGTTGGTCCGGCTGGTTCAGATCTTTTGGGCGATGAGCATCTCAATTTATCAGTGATGTTTGTGTGTATGTGTGCGTGTGTGTTAAGACCTAACTGCCTTTTCTCCCAAGCGCCAGTTCTGCAGCCATCATGACCATATGACTACACTCCAGCATGATTAATTAATGAGATAGTATTGTTTTTTTTAATCCATCCCAGCGCTTAAGGTCATTTCTTTGTCTCTCTTTTTTTGTCTTTCTTAGCCTAAAGTTCCAAGTGCAGACTGGAGATATTCAGCGTCTCTCAGAGCAGGAATGCAAAGGTAAGACTTGTTTGGTTTTGTTGTCCTAATTTGTCGGGGTTTTTTTTGCATCTACTAGAAATGAATGGATGGATGGATGGATGGATGGACAGACAGACAGACAGATGGACAAGCAGATAGATAGATAGATAGATAGATAGATAGATAGATAGATAGATAGATAGATAGATAGATAGATAGATAGATAGATAGATAGATAGATAGATAGATAGATAGATAGATAGATAGATAGATAGATAGATAGATAGATAGATAATTATAATTAAAAAAAAAATACATTTGTAATTGTACAAGAATAATTTAAAAATATATATTATTAAAAAAAAAGATTATAATTGGACCACAGGTAAAATATTACATACAATTTATGATAATGACTTCGCTGAATTTAGTAAAAGGAAGACAAGAATAGAATATCATATAGGCCCTGTTTACACGGTCGAACTGAACTGAACTGAACTGGCATGTTCTGGTGGTCGATCGGATAACAGGTGGACGACGCTAAATACAGATGTAAACGTGGTCTAAAACGTTTTGAGCTTGTCCACTTTCAACCCCTTCCAGAGGTCATCGAAAACCTATTAGACTGGATTGCTTTCGTAGTGTAAACGCTCATGTTGTCGAATGTGTTCGAACAGCCACAAAAGTCACTCTACTCTCCGCCTACTGACCTAATGCTTAAATAATATGAGAGGAGCGTTAGCCAGATGGGATTTAAACTTTGTTTAAGACGCAAGTTTGGTTTAAAGACGAAAAACAAACACAATGTTCTCTCACCATTCCTGATTTCTAACACACACACATATACATTTACCCGCCCATAGACCCTCCCCTTGAATAAATCCAGACAGAAGTGGTTGAAACAAGACGGATTAAAACACCTGGTGTAAACAGGTGTGTGTCTCCCTCGTCTACTTGCGATCTGATCGGCCAAAACGCATATTAGAACCAGGTGTAAACAGGGCCTATAAGAACATAATTTTCAGACATTACATATGGAAGTAGTTAGCTAAAAAACAAGTGATGCTGGTATAATCATGGAAACTGTGCACTGGCATTACATTACCCATACATCACCGGACCATGCTGGTTGGTCCAGTGGATACAGTTATCCACCACTCGTTCTGAATCAACCACAAGATCCACCACAGCAGCCGCTGAATGACCAGTACAGCTGTACAGCGACTATTTCCGTGGAAGCAGAAGTAGGTCATATGCTGGGATTGAAGTAATGCCTACAGTCATGTCGGCAACAAATGATGGCAACGAAGGACATTGCAGACAACAGACTGGACAGCACAGTCAGATATGCCAGAGCTGTGTGTGTGTGTGAGAGAGAGTGTGACTGAATGACCTCTGATCTCCATTAGCGGTACACTGATTCCCTCCTAATAACAGCAGGGTTTAATGAGAGCTAATGTAGCCACGCAAATCATTCTCATGCATTAAATCAGATTCCCGTCTCACAATTTATGTGCTTGGAGAAGCCACTGCAAAATTAATTTGACTTTAATGATGTTCTTGCTTTCTTTTGCTTGTTGAGTTTAAGGCAGATTTATAAGGGTTTCATTGGTGGTATACGTCATAGCTTTTCATTTCATTAATGTTTACTATTGCTCATTATTTAGAGTTTAGGATTTGAACCTTAAAACTCAAGTATTTCGACATGCAACATGTCTGTGACATGAACAATACCTCAAATGGTAAGCCAGTGAGAATACCTTAGCGACGGCCTGACAACACGAGTGAGACTCGCAAGGGCAAACATTACTTACATTTTCTCCAGAAAGAGATTTTCTTCTCTCCTAAAGGCATTACTTTTTCACTCCACAGACAAAAAGATTTTAGACAAAAATAGCTTTTTGGATGTTAAAGTAGTGAAATGATCAGTGGAGGATGCAATGACATTGATATGCAGGCAGAAATGGGCCGAGGGAAGGAGAGGCAGACAGGAAGAAAGAGAGTGGGGGATGTTTGAACATTAGCTGAGGATCATGTATTTGGTCCAGTGTTTCTCATTAATAATGTATTAGCCTTACTGACTGCTGCTTCACAGCTCTTTAAAATGGCTTCCACACACACACACACACACACACACAGTATGTAATAGCAGCGGTAACCGCCTGACCTTGGACTGCAAACATTCATCAGAGAAAGAGAGGGGGGGAGGGGAGGGGTGGGGCAAATAAAATGGTGGTTTTCTACCCATCACTGTGTGTTCTGCATGCATCCTGTTTTTGGATTTTTTTTGGGTGGGTTTTTAACAGTTTAGTTGTTAATTGCGATAGTTAGAGATGTCATAGCGTATTACTTATATTTTAGAATTGACATTTGAAAATACATGAACTATACATACTACTCCATATCTATCCCATAAAGAGTTAAATAAAATAAAAACTGGTGTGCTAAAATAATCAAATAGAGTAGATAAGCAATGTTATTTAACTTTTACCATTCAACAGTTTGAGATCAGTAAGATTTGTTTTTGTTGAAAGAAATGAATACCTTTATTTAGCAAGATTGAGCAGAGATCTTTTGTAACATTATACAGTAAATGTCTTCACCATTTTAAATAAATGTTCTTTTGAACTTTCTATTCATCAAAGAATCCTGAAAAAAATATGATCATTTCCACAAAAAAAAGCACAGTTTTCAAACACTGATAATAAGAATAAATGTTTCTTGAGCAGAAAATCATCATATTAGAGTGATTTCTGAAGGATCATGTGACACTGAAGACTGGAGTAATGATGCTGAAAATTCAGCTTTCTTCACAGGAATAAATTACACTTTATACATTATACATTTAAAACAGTTATTTTAGATAATATATCACAGTATTGCCGTTTTTACTGTATTTTGATCAAATAAATGCAGCCTTAAAGACTTATTTCAAAAAACATTTAAAAAAATCATACCAACCTCAAACTTTTTAATAGTAGGCCTATTGTTGCTTGCAGAAGTGACCAAAGGCAAGTGATCATGTTTTATATGTTTATATAATGTACAGTCAAGGCATTGTTATCGTAAAAATAGAATACATTTCTCTTCTTCTAATTTCCTGCATTTTTTTTTTTTCATTTTCTCAAGTTTCTGCAATATTCTAGCTTACTCTCAACATTATGATACTGCAAATATTCTTGACCCTTGCATAATAAATTGCTTGTGATGTTCCTCAATTGCATGTCACTTTAGATAAGTTGTTCTCCTAAATGGTGTTTATATTCCGATAATGACCAACTCACTATATGTTACCATACTTGTTACGTAGATAATTTCCCCAAATAAATGGACATGAAATATTGATTTGAGCTCAAATCATTCTATTAAGTGAGAAAAGGAGTCTGATTTAATAGTCATGAAACTAGCACAGCTATGTAGGAAATTGGTTGCTTGGGACAACAATCAATTATTATAAGTTTATTGCAAAAATGTTTCATGGCAATACGCCATGATTAGCATTTATGTGCAAGAAAAGGTTGTATTGTGGTTGAGGGAAACCATTCATCAACAGTGACCATCTGAAATGCATTTCCCCCCATTCTTCTATGACAGTTGATGTTGTGATGGAACGACCTCAAAATACTTCATGCTTTCAGCCACTCTGAACACAGTGAGCTAATCCTTTCTTAACACACTGCAGCTGTTTACAGATCTACAGAGAGAGAGCATGCAAGTGATAACACCCCTTTTTAAGAGCAAAAGAATTGCGATTGCCACTGGCGATTTGTAAGGCTTTTTCCTGATGCAGACACACATGTGGGTGTTTGTGGAGTCAAGATAAAATGCCGTTTGCAGAACATTTTACTTTTTATAACACGGCGTATTTCCAATTGAAACAGGGTGATCAACTGCCAAAAAATTACACTGATAACTGTGTGTTTGTGTCTGTGAGAGAGAGAGAAAATCTTTGGTGTGAAAAATTGAGTGCACAGGAATGTAAGCTTTAATCTCAGAGGTGATGTGACAGTGCAGAGAAGATCACGGTCTAATCCTTAATCTCTAATCCAAGCCTCTAGATTTCAATTCTCACCGAAGACCTACATATACTATTCTGCCCAGGTCAAACACAAACCCCGCTCAACTCAAATGTATTTATAAAGCACTTTTAAAACCATAATAATGGACCAAAGTGCTGTTCATAAAAAAATCATAAAACGTTAGCACTTACTAGCATAAAATAGCAACATAAACAATAACAAACAGTCATATCATCAGTCATGCATATCACTCACATTGATCACACCTGTGGTTAAACGTCAAAAGCCAAGGAGAATAAGTCAGTCTTAGACCTTTCAGGCCTCACATTGTCTAAGACATGCATCTGAAGACAAATCTTTTCTCATAGAGTTGGGTCTGACACAATTTGATTCAAATATGATTCGAAAAATATACATGAATGCAAAGAATTTCTTAGTTTTTGATAAGTGCTTACATTTAAGAGACCCTTCAATTGTGAAAAGGATGTTTCTTCTTCTTCTTTCTTCTTCTTCCTTCTTCTTCTTCTTCTTCCTCTTCTTCTTATTCTTCTTCTTAAGACCAGCAGTCTAAAATTTCCACTGTTGTTTGCTTGAGCAGGGTGTTTTTTTTATTTTAGCACATTACATTGTGTGTATATGACCAATAGAGTAAGGAAATTGCTAATCAACTAATTCAATAAATCAATATTTGTTAAGTGCTTTATAAGGATGTGTTCACACTTGGCATGTTTGGTTCGATCAAAACAAACCCTGGTTTGATTGCTCTGTTAGTGCGGTTCGTTTGAATAAGTGTGAACGCTGCCGTCTGAACCCTGGTCCCACCAAACAAGCGGACTTCCAAACGAACTCTGGTGCGGTTTGAATGAAATATGAACGCAACAAGGACCAAAGACATGTAAACAAACCAAAACGGGACATGATGTCGACTCTAAAAAGGACAGAATGCTCAAGCATACCTGTTGTTCTCGTCATAGTCGTGATGTTGCCCATCACAGTTCAGTTCAGGCGTCAGAACCGCGTCTCCTAGCGGAAGATCTTCGTTTGTGTGTGATGGAGGGATTCCTGCCGCTGTTTTGACTCCTTTACACATTTTATAAGCTCTTCACGATTTCTCAGCCGGTCAAAATACCATCATATGCAGGCTACGCACATACAGCAAGCACATTTAGCCCAGAACACATCAGCATTGGTTTGAATGTTCGGTTAGTTCCGTCGTGAAATATACGTAATAAAAGCCGATTAGATTGTGAACATCTTTATCCCTTTAGGTTTCGTATCTTTAGTTTTGGTGTTGAAATGCCAATGCGAATGATAAGTGGACCAGGACTTTTTTTTGGGGGGGGGGGGGGTTCCGGACCAAACGAACCAAGCAACCTGAACTACAGTACAAGTGTGAACACACCCTAAGAGTGAATAAATAGTCTTAATCTAATAATATTTCTCCTCTATTTGTGTGTAGTTCGGTCCATATGGAGGAGTCATCCGTGATGCAGGGTGCTCAAGGAGTTCTGGTTCAGAACTGGCCCACCGTCTCCAGCGCTCCTGGTAAGATATAGGAACTAAACTCTATGAGCAGACACACTCTTCAAGAAATGATAATCATAAATTAGATCTCTTTCCATTCTTAGCTGTTTCTCAAATTAAAATGAGATCAAATGGAGAAATTAGCTTACTGTATGTTTTCTGCTTCTCAGAGTTTTTCTTGGGTTTTGAGTAGAGATTGAACTCAATTGAAATCTCTGACTTCCAAGATTAAATGATCCGAGCTGTTTCTACATTAATTTGTATAGCTGTATACTAAACCATTGACTCATTTGTTGTATATTTTATTTCTTACAACGCATTTTGGCAGAAACATCTGTATGGAGCCCCTGAAGGGACATGGTGGTGAAAATAAATATGAGATGGGTCGAAAAATAATGAGTCAATGCTTTTGGGTTCTCTCACAAATGTTTTGCATTCCCCCGAGAAACTTCGCGTTCGCTCACAAACCGTTTGAGTTCTTTGTGAGTGAAAAGAAAGTTTCTCGGGGGAGCACAAAAGTTTCTCGAGGGAACTTTTTGCAAGAGAATGCAAAACCATTCAAATATTTTTTTCCCCTCCCATCTCAATGTCCCTTTAGGGGCTCCATACATCTGAGAAAAACCTAAATGAAATCTATTTGAAAATAGCTATGAAAGAGCAACCACTGAGCAATACAATGTTCCACTGTGTGGTCTGGCAGGATGACACTGTCTTTCACAGTCTCACTGGTATTACCCCTCAGGACCATCTATTGCTCTGTCCCGATCTAGACTATCACTCTTTTCTTTTCTCTCTCACATCATTCTTTCACTCGCTTGCCTCTTTCGCTGCAGTCTCCTCTGTGTTGGCCTCTTTTGCTGAGATGCTGCAGTCATGCAGGATATGAGGAATATGACCTACATGAGGCTTCCTTATAGGAAACCCAGCTGAGTAGTTCAGGGAGCAACTCTATACATCACAGAAACCACCGTAATACATTAGTGATACCGCAATCCGCCTATTATGCCACACTGAGCCTTGACGTAAATATCACTTCACAATGGCAGCAACCCAGTCAAAAATTGTTAATGAAATAGTTGACCCAAAATAATATTTTGTCATCAGTTGCTCACGTTCATGTTGGAAAGCGGTTTGATTTATTCTGCCAAGCTCTTAGACGGGAAAAAAAAAAAATCTGTTACATTCTGTTAATTTGAGATCTGCTCTGGAGGGAGAAGGGATCTGTAAATAAAGGCATTCATTTGGGTCTTACACAGGAACAAAACTTGCATCTTCTGGGAATGTATAGTGGATAAACTAAACTAGTTTTAATCACTCTCCACTTTCATTGTATTGAAAACAAGACCATTCACTTTTTTGGAATGGAAAAAATCTCAGATTTTGAGTGTGTCTCATTTTGTGTTTCTTGGAATAAAGACAATAGTACAGTTGAAACAACATGAGGGTGGGTAAATCTTGCTAAATGTTGGATGAACTATTCCTTTAAAACTTTTTAAAAGAAATTCTCAGGAAAATCCAGAGTAAATTGTATGGTAATGCTTCCTTTTACAGTCCTGTTACCCATGTACATACTATGTACTTATTATAGTAATTACTGGGTAATAACTAGGTACCAACCCTGAACCTACCCCTAACCCATGTACTTACCTTATATTAGCCAGTACTTTCTAGGTACGTACACAGTGTAAGTACACATTGGTACATAGTATCTACAGCTGTAATATTTGTGTAACTACACATATGTAACAACCCACGGAATGGTATGTGTAAGTACAAATGTGTAACAGGACAATGGTAACAACACTTTTTTCAGTTCAGTAAGTACACATGTGTAACAGGAATTATGTAACTACATTTTGTAACATTAGTACTTACACATACCATTACGTGGGTTGTTACATATGTGTAGTTACACAAATATTACAGCTGTAGATACTATGAACCAATGTGTACTTACACTGTAGTTAAATACTATGTATATATAGTTACCATGTAAGTTCACAGGTTTTAGGGCTACTTAATATAAAGTGGGACCAATTGTATTTGTTTGTTTGTTTTCCCACTGTCTGATAACAGAGGAATACCCTGGTTTTAATGTTGGATTATGTGCGTTTAGCTCGTTCAGGTGACCTGTCAGAGCTGTGTGATGAAGAAGAGAGTGACACCGATTTCCACAGCTCTGACCAGATCAAGCATAAATCCACTTTATCAGCTGAAAGAGGAAATGACACAGTCGGAGGGGATGTGGAGGTTATCTGCAAAAGCAAGAGAGAGAAGCTCAGTACAAAGCGGCGACCGAGAGAGCGTGGCTAAAGCACAGAGAGATGACTCGATTAGGAGATGAATATTAATAATGGTCAGCTCAGACTATTTCAACACAAACACGCACACATTCTCCCTCGCTCGCTGACTGTGGCGATGTCCGCTCATGGTAATTAATCCACAATATTGGATTCTATCTCCATTTTGCCTAGTCTCTCTTTCTCGCACTCCAAATAATTGAAGAATCACCTGTCTTTCTGTAGAGGACAGAGTCTCGGTTATTCATCAGAGATGTCTGCACACGCTCAAAGGCCATAAACGGATCACCACAAACATCAGGGCAAAACATATTAAGATAAAATAAGTTTTTATCACAGAATCAACAAGCACAGGCTTAGAATAACAAATTGTTTCATGAAGAGTCAGCTCTAGGCTTGTGTTTGTAGCCATATAATATTGATGTGGTCTATTGTAGAACATTATGTTGAGGAAATAAACATCCGGTTACACAAAATGGGATTAATTTTAGTATTACAGCAATACTCTCTGGCATTCGTGTGCACTCATCTCGTAGGCAGCAATACCATTTTGTCTGGAATAATTTCCTGGGTCACAAGGTCATAGGTAAGAACCAGGATGCAATTAATGCATATTTAATTTCCTAATTAACTGGATGCGGGTTACAGATGTCTATGTTGAGGCTCGACCCTCTTGGATGGAACGATGATGGGACTTCTGGAGGTGTTCAGAATAATGAATGGAATTTAGTTTCAATAAGATGAAAGGGAGAGAAGCAGGGAGAGAGGACAAAACGGGCACAATTACTTGGGTGATGAAAGGGCAATTTGTTCTAATTAAGTCTCTGATGATGACTGCAAAAGCAAAGGCTGGAAATGAAAGAAATAAGCCTCTTTAGATTTTAGCGCTCTCTCTCTCTCTCTCTTTCTCATGAGAATGTTTATCTCATTTACAAATATTTCACAAGCTTCCAAGTCTGAACTGCTCAGCTTTTAAAGTATTAGTTCAGCCAAATATTAAATACTCACCTTTACATTGTTCCTAAGGTTCTTTCTTCTATGAACCACAAATAAGAACTGTTAATTCTGCTTGTTTTGCATACAATGCAAGCATGCAGTGACCATAGGCTGTCAAGCTGCCAAAAGAAATACGTGTTGTCCATACTATTCTAATCTTCTGAAGCATTATGGTAACTTTGTCTGGTGAAATTAACTGAAATAAAGGTTGTTATTCACTAAAACCTGTCTCTCTGCTGTAGCCCTTATATACTGTAGCATTTACTTTTCTTATTTTCAAGCCTACAATCAAACAGTCATGTGACCAGCCATACACAGAGTTTTATAAATACAGAGGTCCCAAAATTGAGCTTGGCGTCCGAGGACAATTGTCATTTTGACAATTATAAATTACATTATGAATCACAAAAATTATATATTTTCTTTTCAAAATGCTGTCATTAGTTACACTTTGTTGATGGTCCCCTTTAGACATTCTGTTGACTAAGTAACCTTGCATCTACATGTCTACTAACTCTCAATAGAGTATTAGTTGAGTATTAGTAGACGGTTAGGGTTAGTAGATTAAGTTGACTTGTACTTTCAAAGTAACTTATAGTCAATAGATTGTCTGTTGGTGGACCATGAAAATAAAGTGTTAGCAGATATTAAGCAGACAATCTACTAATACTCTAATGAGAGTTAGTTGACCCATAGGTGCAGCATTGCTTAAAGTCGACAGAATGTCTAAGCGGGAACATTAAAATAAAGTGTTACCGCAACATTAGAAAAAAGGTTATTAGTTTGCATCCCTGATTATTTATGTCGTATAACATTTCTATCATAAAACAGCTATCAAATAATTATTCTTTAGTTTAGCTACTTGCATACATCTTATTTGATTTGCAGCCTCTGCGAACAGTAAAGCCTTTGATTTGATTGGTCGTTTCAAACATTTTGACATTGTCGAGCGCTGAAGACCGCTGACACAGCTAATGAGAAAGTCGGTTATCATGGTGTTGTGCGATATCCTTGCAGCACAAAAGTAGGGTTAATACTATACAATTATTTCACAGCTTTTATTATATACACCTCATAAAAAAGAATACAGCCCTTAGGACCTCAATGGTGGCTATGGCCATGCATGTGACACATAAAAACCAGTAGTGTTTGGCATCAAATGGCACGACGCCTCTTCATAAATGAGATTTGAACGCTACTGTAAAGGGCGAGATTTAGAGAATAATTACATAAATTTGAGTTAGTTATAGAATGTTGTGCATGAATAATATGGACCACTTCAATTGTGTGTGCCGAGATTTGGAGCTTGAGAGACGGACAGCTTGATCCGTAAAGTATTACATTTAAATTTTTGGACAGAAGGAGATGAGAACAGCTAGACATGAGTTATAGAGTCAGACAACACCATCAGTTTTGTTACCAGCAGCAGAGGCACTCATGTGAATGTTTCAGTAGGTCTGTGGTGGTGTAAAGTAGTGCTGGTTGGTTTTATGTGATGCTGGAGGTTTGTGTTGTATTAAAATATTCGTCTGCATTTTTATGAGCTTCATTTTGGCTCTGCTGTGCAAAACACTGGAGAAGCCAACGCCCCTCTCTCGCTCTCTATGTTGTGTGTGAAACAGATGGGCAAAACCAAAGCGTAGATCAGCAGAATTACAATAACAGGATGGAGCATGTTGTCTCTCTCATTTTCTGTCTTTTTATTTTATTTTTGTCTGTCTCATT